GGATCCTGCCGCGCTCCGTGCCCGGAGCATCCCGCAATCAGCGGCTCCTCTCCCCGCAGAGCTCTTCCAGGACCTGCGGCAGCTCCAGGAGACCTGGCTGACTGAAGGTAGGCTCCTTCCCTTCTTCTTAAACTTCTGGAATGCTCTGCTCGGGGAGGCGGTGGAGTCGCCGTCGCTGGAGGTGTTTAAAACAAGCCTGGATGTGCCAGGGTTTAGTTGAGGTGTCAGGGAATGGGCTGGATTTGATGCTTTTGAAGTCTCTTCCAACCCAGTGATTCTGTGATGGTTTCCCCCAGCTCTGCTGGGTGCCATCCCTGGATGTGTTTAAAACAAGCCTGGATGTGGCACTGGGTGCCAGGGTTTAGTGGAGAAGATGTTGGGGTTGAGTTGGACTCGATGATCTCGGGGGTCTCTTCCAACCTGGTCATTCTGTTCTGTCCTTTGTGCTCACACCATTCCCACAAGGTCATTTCCCCTGGAATGGTCACCAGTGACACCAGGACAGGAGGACACAGCCTCCAGCTGTGCCAGGGGGAGTTCAGGCTGGGCATGAGCAAAAAATCCTTCACAGAAAGAGGGAGTGGGCACTGGGATGTGCTGCCAGGGAGGTGGGCACTGCCCTGGAGGTGTTTAAACAAGCCTGGATGTGGCACTGGGTGCCAACGTTTAGCTGAGGTGTCAGGAAATGGGTTGGACTCAATGATCTTGAAGGTCTCTTCCAACCCAGTGGTTCCATGATTCCCCCAGCTCTGCTCGGTTTTGAGTTGGTTTTGGGGTTTGTCCCGCTCCTGCCTCCAAACAAAAGTGTTTTTTTCCAGCCTTGCCAGCCCCGGGTTTGTGGAAATGAGGACGCTGAATGGCACCATTGTGCCGGGCATTTGCTCATGAATGGAGCTTGGCTGCTGGCCCGGCTTCCCTGGGTACAATTTTCGCTCCAGGCTGTTTGGAACTGCTTCGATTTTATGCTAATTTGTCACTTATCTTTGTAGGTTGCCAGAAGGTTGATATTTTCTTAAACAACAAAGTAGTCTTTTAATTTGGGGAATAAAAAATGCTTCTATTTTTTTTTCTTCATTTTCTATTTTTTTTTTCATGTAATACTTTGTGGGGACCTTCCTGGAATTTACATACTTTTCAGTTTAGTGTCTTCATTGTTTTGAACTTCAAGGAAAACTTTGAATGCCAGGAAGTCACATTAATTCCGAGTAAATCTAGTTCTAAACGTGGTGATTTTGCTCTAATTCCAGTAATACAGATGATCCATTTGGTAGAAAATTCAAAACATGTCCTCGAGTACAGTCTTTTGGTAAAGACAGAAGTACTTATTGTATCTAGGTAGTTTAAAATATTTAACAATAATGATGTAAAAATATGCATGGCATTTTGAGCAGGGTTACTGCCTGAGGTTCATTTTTGGCTGACTAGGCTTCCACCCTTTATGTCCCTTAATTTTGACTGCATCACCTGTGTTTTAGAGCAGAGGGAGTGCAATCTGTTCTCCACTCTGCAATATCAAAAACTGTAACTTTTGTTAGCAGCAGCAGCATTTCCTTCAGCAGCACTGACAGACTTTATGAAATAACAACAATCTGCTGCCAGCTCTCCCTCCCCTGCAGTAAAAGGGATGTAAAAGTAATTGTTAGAAGTTATAAAATATGGGTAGGGTTTCTCCCAGGACTCACATGTATTCATTAATCCCAAAGGAAAACTCTCCTTAGTCACTAAAATCATCCCAGCAGAAAGCTCAGATCTTTCCTGCAGAGATTTATTTCTGCCTTAGCGCTAATTATGCTGAACAAAGTGCCAAAACTGACTGCTCCCTGCCTCTTTTTCTCCCTCCCTCCCTCTCTCTCCTGACAGCTCAGGTTCCAGACAATGATGAGCAATTTGTGCCTGACTTCCATTCAGAAAACTGTAAGTACCATGGGAATGCTCACACCTCTGGGGGGAAAAGGCAAATCCAAATTCTGGTGCCTTTCCCCCCTGCTCCAGGCAGTTTCCCCCACATAAACTGAAATTAAACACTTTTATTGGTTGCTCTTGTTTCCCTCCTTCCTCAGAGCTTGGTCTCTGAGCCATAAATTTAATTTCTTTCTCTTTTTGACCTAGAGCTCAGGAGAGGTCCCATTTTCACTCTGAGTGAATCAGTGAGTCAGGTGTAATGTGAGATCCTGTTCCAGCTATTAGGGGCTGGAAAGAATTGGCTGCTCCCAACACATCCAACATCTTGACAATCCCATGGAGTTCAGGGTCCTGGGCTGTTGGCACAGCAGAGATTCAGCCAAGGAACCCCTGCATTCGCAAATGCTGATAATCACAGCTCCCCACAAAGAAGAAAAGTGTCAGTCTGACCTTTCCTTTCTCTCCTGCAGTAGCTTTTCACAGTCCTCCTGCTAAGATCAAGAAGGAGCCCCAGAGCCCCTCGGAGCTGTCCTGCAGCCACGAGCAGCCGCTCCAGCACAACAGCAAGCAGTGCCTTTATGCCAGGTATGGCTCACACAGAGGGGGCAGCAGCTGCTCTGAAATCTGTGTCTGGGTTTGGAAAGTCAGGTGTGTGCTAAGGAAGGCAGGAGCCTCCCCTGAAATGGAAATTATAAACCCCCTCCCTCTGGATTGTTATAAATTTGAAATTAAGGGCTCTCAGGCAAAGATATGGGAGCAGGGATAACAGTTCTTTATTAGGGAAGAAAATAAAAATTATATAAATAGTTCAATAGAACAAAACAACACTGGCAGAGTCAGAACCCAACCTGACACCCTGTGGGTCAGGCTGTTGGCAGCAGCGCCATTGGAATTGTGGCTCAGCCCTCCTGCAGTGTCAGGGGTGGCTCTGCTGGAGCAGGGATCCTGTAAAAGGATGGGGTTTTCCTCTGAAGATCCGGTGGAAGAGGCAGCTGTTCCTGTGGGAATCCAGTGGAAAGGCTGTTCTGGTGTCCCAGAATCTCAGATTGTATCCAGTTAGGAATGTTTGAAATCTCCAGATTGTATCCAGGTAGAAATGTTTGAAATCTTCAGATTTTATCCAGTTAGAAATGTTTGAAATCTCAGATTATATCCAGGTAGGAATGTTTGAAATCTCAGATTATATCCAGGTAGGAATGTTTGAAATCTCCAGATTGTATCCAGGTAGGAATGTTTGAAATCTCCAGATTGTATCCAGGTAGGAATGCTTGGCTCCTCCCCCTGGGCGGAGCATCTCCCCATGGGATGATGGAATTTTATCAGCCATTCAGGGACACTCAATGACCCATTAACAGAAGGTAATTAATCATTACTGACCAATTAATAGAATGTCTCCTGGAGGGAGGTTTGACTGTGGAAGAGATAAAGAAAAAAGCCCAATGAACAGCAGATACCCACTCCACCTCTACAGATGGTGATAAAACACACTCCCAGCTAAATCTTGCAGCCTCAGACAGAGATGTTCCGGGTGCTGCCACAAGTCCTTCCTGGAGATCTGAAGCAATTTCTGTTTGGCTGTTGCAGTGCCTACGAGCAGCCCAGACAGTGCCCCAGCCCTGGAGTCCTGGTTCAGCCAGCCCTGCAGCAGCTCCCCAGGCAGGACAGGAGCTTCCCCTGCCCTGCAGGGCCACCCAGCTCCACCTCCAGCTGTGGCTTCCTCAGCGAGAGCAGGTGAGTGACCCCAGAGCTGGGCAGGGCACAGCCACAGGCAAGGGTCGTCCTCCTGGGTGGTGGCAGCAGGAAGGTGGACGTGCTCTGTTTGCAGCTCCTGTGGCACCCAGCTCTGCTCACACCCTTAACCCTGCAGTGATGGGCTGTGGGGCAGCTGCCCTTGGAAACATCCTGCCCTGGGATGTCACCCTTCCTTCAGCCACAGGGAGCTCCTGCAGCTCCAGCAATGGCTGAGGAGTTTCTGCCCCTCATCCAGCCCCGTGCCAGGGCTGAAACCA